CTATGAACACCTATTGAATTGGTACTTAAAATTAAGCGATGATGTGCATAGCGATTGTTGCTGGTTGAAAAACTGAGATGGGATTTGACAAAATGAGGATTGTTGTAAATCAAAAGACACGCAAGGAAACCGACAAATAATATTGTGAATTATATGTCGATTAGTTGCGAATAATAAATTCAATTATTATTATTATATTACCGAGTTTCGTCCAAAACCAAATCTATCCTTCTCGATTAGATCCGATTATAAGAAAGGTAGAAGAAGACTGTCCTGTTATTGGACGAATGAAACACAAGACAGAAAAATAAAACCGACCTGTTGATAGCTGACTTGATCTTGAAGCAACTGCACGGATCAGATTCCTGTCCTTAAAGGTTTTTACTTCGCTTGTATTGGCTGTAAGCAACAGAGTAAAACCCCAGGATTTAATGCAGTAGATCGATATTCCAACAGCACTGGAAATCGACAAACACAAAGCGACTACTCGGAAACTAGAAGAAAAAACCGCAGAGAGAGGGAGAGAGCTTTGAGAATTCGTGTGTGTTCTGAATGGCTCCTAGAGAGCTATATTTATAGGTATCGAAACCCTAGAAGGCATAAACCGGCCCCCATAGGCCGGCCCCAGAAACCCTAGGGCGACAGCTTGCTCTCCAAGCAAGCCGTTTCCTTATCCTTCTAGAATGCCCCGATGACTTATCCATTACGAAGTCAACGCCGGTCAACCATTTGACCGGTCGGTCAAATCGGCTTGACCCGAACTCACCAAAAACAAAAGCTCCTCAGCTCCCGAGCGTCGTGCGAAGTGCAAAGTGCGCCTAAATCGCGCCATTTCGCGCATCGCGGCGTCGGCTAGTGCTAGGCTAGGCTAGGCGCGCGCGTGGGCTTGGCCTATTCCTTTGATCCACTAAAGCCTTTGAAGGCTTACCAAGGGAATAGGCTTATAAACCCCAAAAGTTTCTTCTCCCCACCAATGTGGGATACAAGGAAATTGCCAACTTGCAAATCCTTTATATATATAAAGTTCCAACAATCCCCCACCAAGTTGTAAGTTTCCTTTCACTCAGACAGATGATGTCACTCGGGTGTCACGAAGATTAAACCCTAGTTAATGAGAACAAACAAGAAGAGACCGATTCAATGGATCCTTATAGGTTTAAACCATAACCTTAATGTCCTCTCCGGTTTACCCCCACACACCACAAGTCAATTTGTGTTCTCCCATGAGCGCTATTATGGCCATGCGCAATATAAATCCTTTTCATGACCCTTTAGAAGATAAACCACTAATCTTCACTTGAGGCGGCACCACCTCTAGATCATATAGGCATAGTTTTACAACATCTCGTTGCTTAGATGTCTCAAAACCACGTTAAGAGTCGTAACTCAACCTCATTCTCGGCAATGACGCACTATCCTACCTCACATGGATCTATCATGAATGATAGTACCTTCTATCGTTAGTGATTTCGTTGTTACCCTTTAAAC